TCCGATCAATAACTAAAAAACTCTTAGGCCTAGGAACTTCAATCATAGTATGACGATTTTTCATGACCAGCAGATTACCCTTATTGATTTTGGGATCAAAGGTCAAGGTCACATTGACCTTGTAGATAAAAACAGTTTCCGATCAATAACTAAAGAATGTTTAGGCCTAGGAACTTCAAACTTGGTATGATAATTGCTCATGACCAGCAGATGACCCCTGAATTGATTTTCTGGTCAAGGGGTCAAAGGTCAACATCATATTAATCTTGTTGGTAAAAACGGTTGACAATCATTAACTTGACAACCCATGAGCTGTTGGCCCCCAAACTTTGTAGGTGCTTTTGACTTGACAATTAGATGACCCTTATTGATTTTGGGGTCAAGGAGTCAAAGGTCAAGGTCATATTAACCTTGTAGGTGAAAACAGTTTCAAATCAATAACTTGACAAGCCCATAGCTGCAGGCCCTCAATCTTTGTAGGTGCATTGGTCTTGGTCAGTAGATGACCCCTATTGATTTTGGGATCAAGGGGTCTGTGTCATATTGACCTTGTACTTTAAGACGGTTTCTGACCAATAACTCAACAACTTGAGTTGCCTTGGTTGATATTTTTATATTAAACTAAAAATGCTTTTGGTATACACATTTGAAGGTCTTATGTAATATAACAATGTGGCTGTCATTAATGAGGCCTACATGATTCATAAAATTTATGCATACATTATTTGGTCAGATTTGTAATAACTTAAATTGCTGCACACAACCTATGCGGTCACAATAATTACTACCTTGTGACTAGTCAAGACCAGTAGATAACCCTTATTAATTTTTTTTTTAACTAGGTTAGAAGTCATGCATAATAACCTGATCACATGACTAATTGGCTGCCTATAGGGGGCATACATGTTTTACATACATATCTTGTTTAAATATCAAAATGTATGGTTATTTTAAGCTAACACGGTTATATGGAATTATCGCTTATAAGGAACTCATTTCTTAGTCCCAATTTAATTAAAAGTACAAAAAAATTACACTTTTAAAGTTAATTCCAAAATATTAACTGTCTGTAAATAGATCCCGCATTTTCAACTTTAGTTTTCATTTGCATGGATTAAAATTTGCCCGATTGTACCATTTATTGTTGTTGGTTACAATTAAATAAATCTGTGAAAATGAATTTGTAATAGTTTTCTATTTAGGATAGTTTAAGCAGGAGTTCTTGTCACCAAGATAAAACGGTTATTCCTTTTATTGTATTATTTCTTTTCTTTAACAGGTTTACTCGAGTAAAATTATTTTGATCATTTATAATTGGTTACGCATGCTTGCTAATCCATTGAAAACTACAAAGTACGCTTGATTAAAATAAAAAGAAATCTATAGCTTTCACAACTAGTATAAGTCACTCTTAAAATATATAATAGAAGATATTCAATATAAAAGGAAGGAAAAATGGAAAATCATGTTTATCATGGAAAGAAAAGGAAAAGCACTAAGTTTAGAAACAAAATATGATATTTTATCAGACATTGAAAAAGAGAGTAAAACTAAAACTGAAATAGCAAAGGATTTTCAAATTCCATAAAGTACGCTCTCGGGTTTTGTCTCAAAAAAATAAATAAATAACAATTTTTTTCTTAGTCAATTGCTCTTCATAATGGCGGACGATGGTAAACAATCTGTTCGTAAATCTGTTCGCTATAAAAACTCCTGATACAAGGAACTAATTCGCTATATGCTTATAAAGAACTCCGGATATAAGAAACAGATTTTGAATGTCCCAATGAGTTTGTTATAAGCGGAGTTTACCCTATTGAGAAATTTGATGTTCTGGGTTCAAATTGCTGAAGAGTTGAACATACTGAATGTAAGAATCTCTAGGCAGCAATATTTGTCAGTGCATGACTTTGGCGTAATTCACTACATGGAAGTTCCATTTCTAGTTATTTTGACAATCGGTAAAAGCTTTTTGCCACATTGGAATTCATTGCTCCAAGCTAACTCACTTTGTATCAGATACAAACTGAAAAAGTCGATTTCCCCCATCATGCTAAAATTGAGAAAGTAAATGATTAAATACAGGGATGTATTATCACTTTCCATTTTAAATGTAATAAAGTCAAGTGATTTTTAAGTGTTAGGTATTTTGTCTACAGAAATTGCAGCATTTAGAGTATTATTTGATTTGTTTTTTGGTCAACCGTTTGACAAATCCTAAAATGTTGTGGAAGAGCTTCTTTGATGTTTTATTTTATATGATTAGAGATCTTTATGTTAAAATGTACATACATTTTGGGCCATTATAAATAGAAAGTGCTTGTATATATCTATAAATCTGGTGTAAGACACCATATTACTTTAAATAGGTAAAAACGTTTGTTTTGAAATAAAAATGTCTACTTATACTACATAGTCTGGCAGGTTTATAATACTTTTTTGGGGGTCCTCAAGTGTCATGAAAATATACTCGATATATTAAAAAAATTGGTATATGACAAGCAGAAAATGAAATGATCAACCTGTCCTCCAGATTGAGTACTTACACACTCAGATATCTTCAACAATAGTTCTATTCTATTATATATAATCATTCATTGACAAAGAAAAATATACAGTAGAACTTATTGAGTTGAACTTTGATTAGTCGATTTTCTCGATGTGTCGAAGTAAAATGAAAGTCCCGATTTTTTCCCCTATATATTCCTTATAAAAACCTATTATATGAGTCGAAATATTATGTGTCGATTTTTTTGATGTGTCGAAACTTTTTAGAGGTCGTACAGAATAAATCAAGTACAATTTACCACAAATAAGTCGAAGTCTTTGGCTTATTTTGACAACTCCGTTCTCGAGAGTTTTTCACACCTTTTCTAGCCGTGAAGATGATTTCCGATCAACTTGTATGACAGGTGTTAATTACAACAGCCTTTGTTTGTGTTTAAATGTGTGATAAAGTGTTTTAATTGTAACCATTCAAATTACTATAGTGGTATTTGAAGTAAACAATAAGAACTACTTTCATTTGAGAACTTCCGTGACCCGGTGTCGCGTGATAATTACACTGGGATATATTTAGTTATATACTATAAGCTGGGTTAGTGATCTCCCTTTCGTTTTGTTACGCCTTTTGTAACTTGCTTGTTTACATAAACGGCTCGAAATTTTGTCATCAAATTGAGAGCTATTCATGAGTTGAAGTCCTGATGTGTTGAAGTTTTTTTAGCAAGTCCCTTCAACTTCGACTTAACCGAAGTTCTACTGTATTTCTCATGACACAGAAAAAAACATGTTTTAGGCTTTACATGTAGGCCATTCATTAGTTGCTTTACAAATTCATGTAAAATAATTTGTTATAAAAATTTTCTTATTTCTTCACCATGGTTTATATGTTATTGAAACCATGCTTGACTGCACTTGTATGCCAGACATTTTTTTTTGATAAGTTGATCAAATACAATGATAAAGCAAATTTTCAGTTGTATTATTGATCTGCTGTTTGGTTTGATAATTGTACACAACAAAGTAAGGTGATATAGAAAAGTCTGTCCTGAAGTTCTGTGTTTTACTGGACTTTGATTTGTGGTCTTAAATGATTTATACAATTTGAAAGGGCAGTGGTAACTTGTCATTTCCAGAAACATGACATACTGTAAGGGGAACAATGGTCTTGCAGATAAGGTGACCACTGTTAAGTTAAAAAATATGGGTTTGAGACCTGCTGGGGCATATCCATGTTTGACATCTGATCCTGGCTGGTGTCTGGTATAATGTTCCAGTATGTGAACTTGAAAGTGGGTAATATAAGTAACAAGAACTTGTTTAACTATTTAGTTTTTAGCTCGACTTTTCTATGAAAAGGGGAGCTATCCTACTAGCCCCGGCGTCGGCGTTGGCGTCACACCTTGGTTAAGTTTTTCGTACCACCCCACTTTATTTCAGAAGTATTACAAGTATGGCTTTGAAACTTACCATACTTGTTCACCATCATAACCTCCATCTACAGACAAGAGTACATAACTCTGTCAAGGTTTTTGACAGAATTATGGCCCTTTTTTGACTTAGAAAGTGTATTGAGCTTGGTTAAGTTTTTTGTACCACCTCACTTTATTTCAAAACCATTGGAGGTATTGCTTTGAAACTGACCATACTTGTTTACCATCACGACCTTCATCAACAGACAAGAGGACATAACTCTGTCAAGTTTTTGACAGAATTATGCCCCTTTTTGACTTAGAAAATACATTGAATATGGGTAAAATCCACTTATTGCCTTAACCCTTTGAGATATTGCTTTGAAACTTTTAATGCTATTTCACATCATTACCCCCATCTGTACGCAAGAGAAGGTAACTCTGTCAAGGATTTGTTTTAAAAATTAAGGCCTTTTATCGACTTAGAATTAAATTTATTTAAGGCTCAACTCAGTTTTTTTTTCTTTCTTACCCAGCCCTCTTTTGACTTAAACATTTCAAACTTTGCTGCAGTGTTCAAGGGTATCACACAATTCAGTAAAATAATTCTTCACTAAATATCTTAATGCTCATGGCCATTGTTCACTTTAAAAATACAGAGATTCTTGTATTGCCTTTTACTGCAAAAACTTTTTTTATTGGCAAGCAATAAAAAAGTCGAGCGCGCTGTCTTACGGACAGCTCTTGTTGATAAATATGTTTAAAATAAACATTAAGCATTTATCATATATGCAAAAGAAAACTTATTTTAAGATAATCCTTTTCTTCATTTATAATTTAATAAAATTTGTGTCATTTTCAATAAGTATACTGATAAGTGACTCAAGCATGTTGTAAAATCTATAAATTTAGGGGTCGTAAAAAGTTTGTGAGTTTTTGACAATGCCATTAAATTTTGTGTTATCTTATAATTATGCTTTATTGACTAACAATTGAATAGGTTATTTTATTATGTATCATATTAAGTAGTATAAATGTTGTAAACAATAAAAACAAAAACCAACAATAATCTTGCCTGTATTTCAGCATGGGTATGTGGAAAAGAAGCAGAATATATGGAATCATTATCAGAGGAGCAGGTTGCTAAGGATTGTCAGAAAATTCTGTCAGGCTTCTTGAAGAAAGACATTCCACTGCCATCAAAAACAATTGCGTGAGTATTTTTTGTGTTGCTATTGTACTAGTTTTATTGGCTTTCTTGTCAGACAGAGCAACATGCTGGAATTTCAATTAAGAAATAGTTTCTACACAGGCATGGAACTTTGGAAAGGTTCATAAAGTTCATTGCCTTTTCTTAGCAAGCTCAGTTCATAACAGAAAGATACAAATGCATCAGGGAGAAAACCAGCTGTGTAGGATTCAAACTTTTACCTTGATACATTCTAGACAGTAGAGCCACAAAATAGTTCCCAAGAGGAATTTACAGTAAATTCAATAATTATGGTAAGTGTAAGCAAGTGGCAAAGCCTCGTGGTAAAGTGCAGGGTTTACAAACAAAAGGTATGTGCATTAGGCCTATCAAGTCCCTATTTCTTGTTTCCTTACTACAATGCAATTCTACTCTCCTTTTTTGCTAATCTGTCACAAAGTGACATGGTGAACTTTTGTGATCGCTTTTTGTCACGGCGACTGTCTGTCCCTTAACTTTTGCTTTTAAACGACATCTCCTCATAAACCGCTAAGCCAATTTCATCCAAACTTAACAGGAATGCTCCTTTGGTAGTCAAATTTAAAAAATGTTCAAAGAATTAAATTCCATGCAGAATTCTGGTTGCCATGGCAACCGAAAGAAGAAAACTTAAAAAATCTTCTTTTAAAAAAAACAGAAAGAGCTAGAGCTAAAATATTTGGCATGAAACATCGTCTAGACAGTGTCTACCAAGTTTGTTCAATGAATTTGAATTGGCCCCACCTGTTGGGGAGTGGTCATTGGATTTCCTTATTTGTAGATAGTAAAAAGTTAAAAAATCTTTTTTTGAAAAACCCAAATAGCTAGAGCTAAGATAATTAGCATGAAACATCTTCTTGTGGGTGTCTACCAAGTTTGTTCAAATAAAAGCCCTGGGGTAAAATTTGGCCCCGCCCCAGGGGGTCATTGATTTTCCTTATTTGTATATAGTAAAAACTTAAAAAATCTTCTTCTAAAAAAACAAAATAGCTAGAGCTTAGATATTAAGCATGAAACATCTTCTAGTGGGTGTCTACCAAGTTTGTTCAAATAAAAGGCCTTGGATGAAAATTGCCCCGCCCCAAGGGTCATTGTTTATGATCCCTTTATGTATATAGTAAAAACTTAGAAAATCTTCTTTTAAAAAACCCTAAGAGCTAGAGCTCAGATATTTAGCATGAAACATCTTCTAATGGATGTTTACTAAGTTTGTTCAAATAAGGGCCCTTGGGTTAAAATTGGCCCGACCCCAGGGTCATTGATTTTCATTATATGTGTATAGTGAAAACTTAAAAAATCTTCTTTAAAAAAACCCAAGGAGCTAGTGATAAGATACTAAGCATGAAATATCTTTTAGTGAGTGTTTACCAATTTTGTTCAAAATAAAGTCATTGGATCAATATTGACCCCGCCCGCGGGGGGTCATTGTTTTTCCTTATATGTGTATAGTAAAAACTTAAAAAATCTTCTTTTGAAAACGAGCTTAGATATTTATCATGAAACTACTAATGGATGTCTACCAAGTTTGTTCAAATAAAAGCCCCTGGGTTAAAATAAGTCCAAAAGCCCCTGGGTTAAAATAAGTCGGGCCTATAAACAGGTGAGCGATATACGCCCCTTGCACCGACTGCAGCATTGTGTACTCTTTTTAGCTCATCTGAGCTAGCTCAGGGTGAGCTTTTAGGATCGTGAATATCCGTCGTCAGTCCACACTTGTTCGTTAAGACTCTAGCGGTCAAATTTTTACCTCAATCATCATCAAAGATGATGCTTATCTAGTTGATAGCTAGGATGAGTTCGAACATGGGTCATCTTGAATGAAAAACTAGGTCACAGGAGCTAAAAATAAAAAACCTTGTTAACACTAGCAGTCACATTTTTGCCTCAATTATCAGGATGCTTAACTAGTTGATAGCTCAGATAAGTTCGAACATGGGTCATCTCGGATGAAAAACTAGGTCACAGGATCTAAAAATAGAAAAACCTTGTTAACACTCTAGCGGTCACATTTTTGCCTCAATCATCATCAAACTTTGTCAGGATGCTTGTCTAGGTGATAGCTCAAATGAGTTCGAACATGGGTCATCTCATATGAAAAACTAGGTCACAGGAGCTATAAATAGAAAAACTTTAACACTAGCGGTCACATTTTTGCCTCAATCATCATCAAACTTTGTCAGGATGCTTATTTAGTTGATAGCTCAGATGAGTTCTAACATGGGTCATCTCGGATGAAAAACTAGGTCACAGGAGCTAAAAATAGAAAAAACTTTGTTTACACTCTAATGGTCACATTTTTGACTCAATTCTCATCAAACTTGGTGAGGATGCTTGTCTATGTAATTGCTTGGATGAGTTTGAACATGGGTCATCTCGGATGAAAAACTAGGTCACACCAATCGAATATTGAAAAAACCTTGTTAGCACTCTAGTGTTCACATTTGACTCAATTGTCATCAGGCTTTGTCAGTATGCTTTTCTAGGTAATTGCTCAGATGAGTTTGAACATGGGTCATCTTGCATAAAGAACTAGGTCACCAGAGCTTAAAATAGAAAAATCTTGTTAACACTCTAGTGGCAACTGTTTTGATCCAAGTATCCTGGAAATTGGTCTGAAAGTTTGTTTTTATGATTTCTAGGTCAAGTTTGAATATGGGTCACCTGGGTAAAAAACTAGGTCACACTGCTCAAATATGAATAATCCTTGTTAACACTCTAGAGGTCACATTTTTCACTCACCTGTCATGAAACTTGGTCAGAATGCTTGTCTAGGTAATTGTTCAGATGAGTTTGATGGGTCAGGTGAGCGATCTAGGGCCATCAAGGCCCTCTTGTTTAGCTTTGCAATTGTAAATCTATACTGTCATGTGCAGCAGTGACATGTGCATCGACACATTAAGGGAAACCAAACTGCTTAAATAATTTTGTAATGATGTTAATAGTATATGGGACAGTAAATATTATAATTTAAAGAAAATAAAGTGAAGTTCTTATTATACATGTACATGTATAAAAAAGGTAGGTAAAACAACAAGTCTTAAAATAATATATTTAACTACTTGATAATGTATTTAAAATGGGCAGGTTAATATTTTTCTGCACTTGTATGTAAATCTACTGTTTTGTTGATTCAAAAGATGCACATTATTGCCATCTAGATGTAGACAAGAGTAGTTCAAGTTTAGAACAGAGGTGCAAGTAAGAATGGTCACTCTGCAGAATTATCTACCAAGAGATATTAAGTTATTTGAAGCTTTTATATTCTTTCAAAGTCCTTTGTCTTAAAAGAAGTATAATGTAGGGATGAAGCACTACTACTGCAGTTTATTACTCAAATGTGTATGCCTGATTAGCCCCAAACTGACTGATAACAATGTCAGCTTAAAAGGAAAAGAATATTAACACTTCCCATATTTTTCCCTAGACGAAAGTGTGTATAAATATGCAATAAAATCACTGTTGACAGTCTATATTTAGTAATGTAACATATTCATTAAAAATGTGATGTTGATATCAGGTACATCAGCATTTATTTGTTGTTGTTGTATTACAAAATAATATATCATATAAGCAATGATTTAATTGCCACCTCAAGTGACATCATAAGAGACATAAAACATTGTGTGGATTTAATGAAAAAAAAAATCCAATATGGCCCGCAATTTGTGATACTAGTTCATCAGTTGAGATAGATTGAAGTGAGGAATCTTAGATTGCTTGAAAATAATCCTTCCATCAGAGAATCTTTCTCAAATAAAACCTTGATTGCAACCTTTCTGTAGTAAAGCCTGCATGATTAGAAATTGTTACTTTCTTAATTGTTTGGTTATTTTTATTTGTGTGTAAAACTCTTCAGAAGCTGTTATCAAGTCAGAACAGTTTGTTATCAGTTATCCAATCTGATGAGTATGGTAGAAATGTTGAATTGAATATTGCAGAAATAGTTCATTTTATTCCAGTGACATTCTGTTACAATATACTTGTATTATTGCATTACAGCTGCTAGGTAGCATGATTATATTTAGTTATTAAACTAAACACAGCCTTAAATTTGTAACAATCAATTGTGGAATAATAACATAATATAAATCATTAAGCACAGAAGGCGCTGAATTTGTTTGGGTCTCAGAATGTCAGAAAGGTGAAGGTTGTGAGATTACAAACTAATTTGTTTGTAAAGTGTCACCAAATTCTGTTTCCATTGTTATAACTATAGTAAATTGGCTATAAGACTAATTGCAACACTTATATTCAATTCAATGTTTATTTGGCTTAATCAATAAAAAAAAAAAAAAGAGTTGCCTGACCTTGATTTGAACTCCGATCGACCTCTCGCTTCTAAAGCGAGCATGTAAACCCCTCGACCAAGGGGAGTTAGAAGATAACAGCCTGAAGAATACCACATTATTCTGTATTAAGAGTTTGCAACCCTTATTAATTTTGATATATTTTGTTCAGGGTAAACCTGTTGTTTAACACTGAAGTAAATCCAATCGGGAACTATTTTTTCGTTACAAAAATTAATGCGCCTGTCATTTGACAATCTTTACACAGTGATCTCCCCTTATTTTTTCGATGTTAATGTGCATATGAAGGGAAGTAACCGCTTCGAGGAGTTTGGACTACTTTCTGCATTTGCAAATAAGAACATCAGGCTACCATTATTTGCTTGGTCTGAAGACCCAAACAGATAACAAATTGCTTCCTACAGTATAGAGGTTGGTCAAATTGCACAGATGTGCAGAATTGCCTGACTCTATACAGGTGGCCAACTTCAGATGAGGGGTTATGGCTCGGTTTAAAAGCAAAAGTGCAACAGTGTCATATTCAAACTATGTGCACACCTGGAATACATAAAGTAAGAAACAGGCTAAATAGCAAGTTAACATAAATAGTAACTAGGGGTTATTCAAGTAGAGCATCACTAACATAGTAATAGTACATGTAATATAATTATACTACCTCTGGAGAAAATATAAAATTCT